GTTCCTTTCAATTCTCATCCACAATTTTAACAACCCAATCTGCCATATCAAAATCAGTCTCCTCTTCATTAAGCTGTAATTCAGACTCCTCATAATCCAGATCAGGATAAACATCTCAATGTCTTGGAAAAGGGTTTGGAAACCATAATTAAGGCCTCCACTCAAACCACGAATATGTTGACTCAAACGTCCAGCACTTTGAATTCCTTTATGCAATCAACCGGACAAATGTTCAACTCCAACACTCAAGCTATAGCTAGATTAGAATCCTAACTTGGTCAACTAGCTAGTGCCGTGAGTGAAAGAGAGAAAGGAAAATTTTTGAGTCAACCCGTGGTCAACCCTAAGGACACAGGATGTAGTTCATCCTATGAAGCTCAAGTGAATGCAATCCATTCACTTCAGTCAGGTAGACAAGTCGATAATCAAGTAAGAACTCCTCCAAGTCAAACTCTTGATCTAGTACAAATTCCTTCTCCTTCTCCTTCTGATGAATCTATTCAACAATCACCCCCCTCTCAGATGACCAAGAACCTGAACCCTAACCTGAGCCTGCTTTTGATAAGTTTAGACCAGTTGCTCCTTTTCCAGATAGACTCAGGCCTAGGAAACACTCCCCTTAAGAGGAGAAGATCCTAGAAACATTCAAGCAGGTTAAGGTCAATATTCCTCTCTTAGATGTAATTGAACAAATTCCATCTTATGCTAAAATTTTGAAAGAATTATGCACTAAGAAGAGGAGAATAAATGTTCCAAAGAAAGTCATTTTAGCCGTTAATATCAGTGATATGCTCTCAAATCCTATACCTTTGAAACGTAAGGATCTAGGTTCTCCTATCATTTCATGTGTCATTGGTAATACTCACATTGATAAGAAGCTTTTAGACTTAAAGGCCAGTGTTAATTTGCTTTCATATTCAGTCTATCAACAATTAGGTCTAGGTGTACTGAACCCAACCCGCCGCACTTTGCAGTTGGCTGCTAGATTTGTCAAGGTCCCTATGGGTGAGTTAGAGGATGTTCTGATTAAGGTTGGAGATTTTATTTTTCTAGTAGATTTTATAGTCTTGGAAATACAGCCTGTTTCTAATCCCAAAGGGTAGATACTTGTCATCTTAGGATGACCATTCTTAGCCACTTCTAATGCTCTCATCAACTGTAGAACTGGTCAAATGAAGCTGTCCTTTAGGAATTTGACTGTTGATCTAAACTTTTTTAATTCAGAGGACCAACCAAATAATCAGCCTTTAGAAATAAATTACATTCAGGAAAGATCAAAAGAAGAAGAAGAAGAAGAGTCTGGTTTGAGTTTTGAGGAAATTTTTGATAAAGAGTTGGAGTTTTTAGAAGAAGCAGATCAGGTCATTAAGAATAATGAAACCGTGTTAAATATTTGCTACCTTGAATTAAATTTTGTAGAACTCTTTCTTGATAAACTGAGATTCTTAGAGAATAATAAACAACTAAATTTTCAGAACTCAACCATGAATCTTGGGGTTGAGGAAAATACTATAGAAGAATTGGTTGTTAGAAAACAAAAATTCACAGTACAAGAGTCTAAGTTCATTAAGAAATGCAAAATACATGACACCAATAATACATACTTTACTTTGTTGAAAGAATTATTGAACACCCCGAAATGCTTAGAATTTCACTTTATTGATTATATCTTTTTGAATTTGTTTAAAATTCGGGGAAGAATTTTCAACAATAAGGTAGGATTTAATGTAGAATACGAGCTCTTCATGTTGAACCCTTCATTCTATATTGTTTGTTTTGTTTTATTTTAGAATAATAAAAAGAATTTATTCTTCTCTTATTCGAGAGTTTATTATTCAGTTCTAAAAAAAGAGAAAAAAAGAAAAAAAAGAAAAAAAGAAAAAGAAGAATAATTTTTTTCATCCTCCTTAGACCAAAGATAATTACAGATTTTTATCAGCCAACTAAATGTAAGTACTTCACTTCTTATCTGCTTTACTTTCTGCATCATAGAGTTTACATTGAGGACAATGTAAAATTTAGGTGTGGGGGTGAGAATTAATTATTTTTTCTCTTTATTTTACCTTTTTAGTTGCATTTTTCATTTTTCTTAAAAAATTATAAAAATATTGTCACTTGCCAAATTAATAGAGTTATGTAATAATTGATTTATTTAATAATTTTAAAAATTTTCTAATCCCTAGTTTGTTATTTACTCAAGTTCACCTTTTATGATAACTCAAAATAAATTTCTTAAGAAATAATTTTCAAAATAGTATACTTTACTTAAGCCGTAACTTAGATTTTGATTTAAAATAATGGAATTTATGCATGCTTAGCTTAGAGTTGAAAATAATTTTTCAAAGTATCTTGATTTACATATTTTTAGAATATATATATATATATATATATATACATATATATATATTAAAAAATATATAATAATAATAACATTACAAAAGAAGAGTGCGAAAAATGGGCACCAAACACTACAACAAAATACATCATTGCCGACGAAACAAAAACGTCGGCAAAAGTTTAAAAAACATTGGGAAAAATCTTTTGCGACGCAAAATGTAGCGTCGCTAACACGTCGCCAAAAGTGCGTCAAGAAAAGTATTTGGCGACGCAAATGCACTGTGTCAGTAAAAGTCAACACTTTTGGCGACGCTTCATGCATCGGGAAAAGTAGTACTTTTAGCGACGCAAGTTGTTTTGTGTCGGCAAAAGTATGCAGAATTTTCTCAAATGCAAGAGTGCGTCGACAAAAGTAGTACTTTTGGCGACGCATGCCACGTCGGCAAAAGCCAATGCGTCGGCAAAAGTATAGCTTTTAGCGACGCAAAACTGTTCGTCGCTAAAAATTATACTTTTGGCGACGCAAGTTAGCGTCGGCAAAAGTGTAGCTTTTAGCGACGCAGAATGAAATGTTGCTAAAAACTATATCTTTGGCGACGTAAGATGGCGTCGCTAAAAGATATATTACTTTTGGCGACGCAATATAGCGTCGGTAAAAGTATTACTTTTAGTGACACAATATAGCCTACACTGAAGCTGAACATCCACAAAAAATTTGCTCCCATTCACATCAACAAAGACTGACACAATATAGCCTACACTGAAGCTGAACATCCACAAAAAATTTGCTCCCATTCACATCAACAAAGAAACCAAACATCAAATTATACTCCAACCATTCACATCAACAAAGAAACCAAACATCAAATTATACTCCAAACAAGTTGCATATTATGATAAACAAATGATTTGCTCCCATTGCAAAATAGTTACATTCATTTCCATTTCCAAGCAAACAACTAAACATAAGGAACAATTCATTGGTTCATTACAATGGCTTTAGTACAAGTTTTTTTTTTTCTTTTGTCCAAAGTACATGACTAAAATACCTCTTTCATTAAAACAAAAAATGTCTTCTGTTTAAAGCTCTCCATTGATATACATAATTTATAAATTATCTGGATAGAGCTAATCTCACAGCAAGTGAAAAGCACATATGGATTAACTTGTTTTAGCCACCATCAATTTTCCTGCATAAATTTAGATAAAAAGATAAAAATAAGATTATATTCATTGCAAGATTCAGTCACTTGAATATATAAAAAGATAAAAATAAGATTATATTCATTGCAAGATTCAGTCACTTGAATATATGCTTTAAAATATCAATAAATACTCAACTAAACTTATATATTCATTGCAAGATTCAGTCACTTGAATATATGCTTTAAAATATCAATAAATACTCAACTAAACTTACCTCAAATGGTCTCCTGTTTTGAAAAGGTTGACACATAACTTTTTTCTGCTTCCAGGTGTTTGTCTGTTCCATGGTCATTCTAAAGACAAAAGATACCAATGGATTTCTACAAGGCATCACAAGTACTAATGGAAAATGCAAGAGAACAAAAGAAACAAGAACTGAGAAACCAAACTTAGTAATTCATATGAACTAATTGAACCATGAAAGTTCCAATCTTTGTACCTTATATCCCAAAATTCCCCACAAAAGTCATCTTTGCATAAAAGAAAAATACTTAAAGATCACATTTCTTTACATCCTTTTTCCATGCTAAAGTGTCATCACATCGAGCATGTCGTTTTGTGTGAAAGCAAAGCAGCAAGCTTCAGAAACATGAAAATATAGTTTAAACGACTTAATAAAATATATATAAACTAATATTGAAGTTTATAGATCAATAAAACAATATTTTCACAAAACACTTATATTTTGATAAAAACCATAAACCAAAACTTGTGCATATAATACAATAAACAGAAAAGAAGCCTCTGCTTCCTGCTCCTTTATTCATGATAAGATGTACGATTTCATCAAAATCAGGCATGATAAGAACAAGATTGGAAAGGCTTCCAAACATATCAGTGAGAAGAAAAAGGAGTTCTACTCACATTGTTTTAAGATTGGAAAGGCTTCCAAACATATCAGATAAATTCCCCTGAAGTTGATTGTGAGCCAGATTTCTAAATTCATCAATGATAATTTGGTTTAGTTCAAATAATCCAGAAGACAATTTCAATAGAGGAAAAGAAAAGTTCCATTGACAATCACACTCACAAGTATTCAAGATTAGGCATCTGTGGAACTGAGTAAGGAATGCCTTGAGCAAACTGATTATTAGCGAGATTTCTGCAAATTCAATCACATAAAATTTAACTCAGAAACAAACAACCAAAACCATACAAATTGTTTGCATTATAACTTACAGCCGTTTAATGTTCTTAGGAAGATTATATGGAATTTGGCCTCCATTTCCAAGGCTATTGCCACTCATGTCCCTACACCATATGCACTACACTAAGATACCACTAACCTGTACATATCTGAGTTCACCAGTTCCTGAATCTTCATCATATGGTTGAATATTCAATGTAGAAATGTCTAAAACGAGGTAAAAATAATTAAGCTGACTAGATGTATCAACAAAAAGGGAAAACCCACTTCATAGAGACACAAAGAGAATGAATCAAGAGCATGCATTGTTTTAGAAAAGTGACTGCAGCATTGATGTTTGGGTGATGAGCTGCACAGGAAAGTTAATCAGATAAAGTTATATGCGAAAAAAATCATCAAATTCTAGTTACAGCTTGATAAAGTAACATATGAAGACAAGTATCAAGATATCAACTGATGACCAAACTAGAACAAGTCATGGGATGAGCATAATAGTATGGTCTAAGACTAAGAGACTATCCAGTTCAAAACATTCATGAGTAATCACTGAATTCAAACTCTTGTTGATTTTTTGCAACTTTATCAAAGATAATGTAAAAGAAAAATGATTAAT